AAATTTGAACGTCCTAGGTTCACGGGGACAGGAGTTATGAATTTCCGTACAAACGGACAGACGCGAGCGCTTTATATAAAGTAAGGATAGTTGTCCAGGTTGTTGCCAGAAGTGTGGCTAATTAACAGTATTTTCATCGACACCCAATTTTTATGTATTTTGGCAGCTTCTCTGCAAAATTTGAACGCCTCTGGTCCAAATTAAATTTTTTTGCGGAAGCCTCGCCCACAGTGGGCGGAGCCTACACTTGCCACCTTCATCTCTGCCAAATTTGAATACTCTAGGCTCAGGAGCAAAGGAGTTACAGATTTCCTGTGAACTACACTTTGCGCAAGCCCCGCTCTTAGTGGGCTGAGCCTGGCTTACTTAGATCACGTGTACCTAAAGAGTTCGTTTCATTCTCTTTTTGTTAATCCCCAATCTCCACTCGTTCCAACCTGTCTGAGCTGTTCCATTTGATTTCCAAACGACGCCGTAATAGATAGTTACAGTGAAACAGACAAACAGAAAAGCGGACATTTGTGGTTTATATAGGAAGGATAGACATTTATAAATCGCAATTACTAATTTTTCGTGAAATGAAGTTTGGCTGAAGAATACATGCAGTCCCTCACGACCCTGTGGGTTGTCCAGCACTAATCTGATGGGCACACATACGTATAATATTAATGTGCAGTTGATATATCATTATATGTATACACTTGTGAGCGGGGGTGGTTCATGGCAAGTGGCGCCCTTTCTCGCACGGATGATCTGGAGACCGACTCTCGGAAAGGTATTTGCCTAAGACATCTATCGTTCAACAGCAGAAGACAAAGCCGTCCATTCTTTTTCGGTCATTTAATTCGTATCAAGCTTGCCTGGGGAGATAAAGACACTGGCCCATGAGACATTCTTCGAATCCTGAATGGAGACTTAGCGTAGAAACATTCCAAGAACGAGATTGACTGACGCCGAAGACTTTATCTTTTATGTATTTACATGTAATAATATATCAACTTCTTTTATTATCCCTGGCATGGGGGTTCTCATAACTAGCAACCTCCGTAGCTGTGTTAATAGCTAACGTTTACTACGTTGCTTCACGAATTGTTGTACATTTAAGTAATTCCAACTAAGTCAAAAGCAGCTGAAGCTGAAGAGCACTTGNGAAAGTGGACAGCAAAAGCTTTTTTGAAAACATGCATGGGGAGGATTCCATTACTTATCTTATACCTGGTGCTTTTGAATCCATGGATGAGCTGGTTACTTCTAGGACTGAAGAAGGGATCGTCGTGGAAAGCTTTGTCGTGGACAGTGGAACTGATGATATATTTGTCGGGGTCATTGTGATACTCGTCCAAGCCGACGACGTCTCCGCTGATCTCACCAATGCGTCCTGGAAGTCAAGAAGCTTTTGTTCTTGAGAATACATTCACTGGCCAATGACCAGTGGGTAGCGATTGTGATGGAGTTGAGTTTGGTGCCGACGACTGTAGCTGCATTGATTGATATGCTTGGGTGGTGAATGCTACTCATGCTAGGATTTGAACCCTTCTAAGCGCTCAAACAGGAAACGCTCAATTCTTAACGGAGCCAGGTCCTGCCTCACATATCGCGCGCGGCGCGTTTCATGATATATCGTTTGAATCGTGAAAGGGTTTCACGGTCAACTTATGTTCTCACGCGCGAGCATTTGAATAACACATCAAGTGTATCTGTGCTGCAGCGTGCCTACACCTTTCCAGTCGGCAACCTTCTAAAACGCTCAACCTTACTGTTTCATTTTCTAACTCCTATATTTTCTACCTGAGAAGCCAGCTTGACACTCTTTACCCTACTTCTACTCTGCTTCTTCTGCAACTGTAGCAACTTGAATATTTCAAGTAATGAACGAATTAGTAGTATGATGTTTTTCTAGAATTTCGGTGGTGTAGTGGCAGGGAGTACTCTTCTCGCACGGTCACGGGTTTGTATCCAGGGTTGACATCCGTCCAGGCTAATTATGACTTTCATCCCTCCGAGGTCGGTTGTATTGGTACCAGTCTTGTTTGAGAGGATGAAGCACTGACTTGTACATCGGCTGGCCACTGCAAGATATCGACCCGTCGATATCGACCTGCATATCGCGAGCGTTGGGTGAAGCTCAACTGTAGAACAGGCTGGATTCCGGGAGGGATCCAGCTGCTTAGACCACGTCCAAACTGTCGCAGTGGTCATCGAGGAATGCTATGCAAGTTGACTATGAGAAAGCTTTTGACAACGTCGGGACGAATGCGGTCCCGTCCTGTCAACACTGGTCGATCAAAGGGAGGACCCTCCTTATATAAGAACACTAGCTATAGCGTAGTCTCTGCAGTGCAACGGTGAAGCTATTCCACTGACCTCATCCCCTTGAGAAAGGGTGTGAGACAAGGCGACAAAATTTTGTCAAAGCTTTCGCAGCCGCCCTGCAGTGGGTTATTGAAGGCATCGTTAGCAATAAATTTAGGGTACCCTCTCTTAACGGGAATTGATAGAACTACTCAGAATAAAGCGATAACAACGAAAAAAGCGCAAAAAATGATGAACAATAAGAATTACAAAGGGTCAAAAAAGAGCTGGAAAGGGGGTTGGACGAGTTTCACATTGAAATAACGGCGGTTAGGGAGTGTTCGGGCGAGTGCACGAGCGAGCGCAATGTGTTGTCTGCAATAGCAGACACCACATTGCGTCTCCGGCAATTTGCCAACCAGCTTATCGACTTTTCACCAACTTCGCTCCAGTGCAAAAGTGGTGAACGGCAATAATATTTCGTAGACAGCCTAGCGGGGGACGGAGGGCGATCGTGGATAACTCTCCGGCCCCTTATTGTGCCCTATCCAGCCGTTTTCCGACCTCAATCCTGCACAAATGGTATCAGAGGGGGCGTCGAATTCANTATCAGAGGGGGCGTCGAATTCAAACCATGTGCAAATCTCCGAAACCATTTTTTCGTGAACAGTGCCTTTTAGTGGGGCGAAAAGTGCATTGGCGTGGATGGACGGTTACTCATAAATCTCCGAGTTGCGAACGACATCGTTCTCTTTTCAAGCAGCGTTGCGGAGACATGGATCGGATCAATCAAACGAAGACACAGCCTATGAAGAATGCTTGGGCTGGCGAAGGTCAAATCAAGAAAGGTGGTACATCTATCAAGGAGACCTCTTCCTACGTTTATCTCGGGCGTTCTACGAATATGAACATGGACATGAGGAAAGAACTGCTCAGACGGCAGAAAGCAGCGTAGGCAGCCCTCGGACTTTTGAAAGGAGTTACCAACCATCTGGTTGATCCGAAACTTCGCGCTAACCTGTTAGATTCATCAGTTCTTCCTACACTCTATTACGGGTCTGAGACTTGGGTGACCAGTGCATCCAGTTCAAGGGCTCTGAATACAAGTCACAGAGCACTCGAGCGATGTCTTCTGAGGTTTAAACAGCCCACACAACATCAAGCTAGGATCAGCTCTTATGCGCCGAATGTCTCGCCTTTGCCATCCGGTGGAATACATGAAAAACGCAAAACTTCGATGGCCCGGTCATATCATGAGAAGAAATGATGACAGATGAACAAGAAGAACAGTCGAGCTGGACTCCTGTCGAATCTTCACGATCTCAGAGGGGATGTGCTTGTCGATCACGTAAAACAGCTGCGAATGCAGCTGAACGACTCATTACATCGTTATTTTCGTCGGATTCTGAGTCCCTTTGAATGGCGATCGCGAAAGATAGATGCGAAGGCTTTGTTGCTGGTGCTCCCACATGAGTGAATACGAGCCATATGAGTGAGTATAAGTTCATCATCACTATTCGGAATCTATACCACCTCATGATTGTCTGCGAATCGAACTCAACGTACTCTAATATTCTTCAATGAAGTCTGCAGATCTTCATTAGTTTTCTTTATTTCTTCATAAGTTTTTGTTAGTCTTTCAAGAACCTCCAATGTTAAACCTTGCATTTCTGAAAAAAAAACCCTGCCAAAAAAGTCTCTTCTAGATTGTATATCGACAAAGTAGCTAATCCGTCAGATATGAACATAACAAAATTTCTGACTTGAATAAGATTAGTCAGGGCATCATGAAAAAATCAGCCAAGGTGAGGAATGGGTCAACAAATGTAATTATTAGGAGCCTCGCGTTTTCTCTCCCCAACGATGAGCGAATGTTTCCCAAATGGAACCATCAAGATTTGCACCTCCGTCCAAAAACGCCCTAGAATCCGGAAAAACTGGTCAAAAGCTATAGAGGACAGGAAGGTTCAATCCTAATAGTAGACGCGAGTCGAGGTGGGTGGAGCTAAGATCATAAATTTAAGGCTTTCTCAAAAAGCTTCTTTATTGTCCCTAGCGAGATATCGCTCAATTAACAATATTTATTCTGTTTTGACGTAATTTTGTCAAAACAAAACAGGAAACAGACTCGCTTAATTGACTAGTGATTACATTGACCGCCTGCCTGTGAAGTGGTGAAATCGACAGAAACTCACGATGGACTTCCTCGAACATCTTCATGCACGAGTGCGACTCCCAGGTTTTGTCTTCGCTGAAAACGGACCCTTTCAAATGTTATCCATATTTGACTGGATAAAGATCTGATTTTTGAACCAATTCCTGAGATACCTCGGTCCTATTCCAGAAATCGCTTCTAGTGTGTGTATTGCATCCTGTTCTAAGCCTTTTCTGAATGTAAGAGTGTTACTACAGTTATGTTCTCCTCTATTAGTTACGATGAGCTGATCGTTTTCGTTATTGCTTCCCCTTTCACAAAGTCAAAGAGAAAAGAGAACTACTGTACACATTTTAAAGCGCTTGACTGCACCACGATTTCTAAACCAACGCTTTTGGAAGCGATGTTGCAAGGCAAGTACTAGTACTCCGTGCGGTATGAAATCCCTTCATTTTGATTTGCCACTTCAAAACTTCAGATGCTAAAATATCCCTCCGAAGATAACTATCATGCTACTGTAGTGAAGCAACACCACTGAGGCGTAAAGTAGTATGCCTAACTCTCTAGGAAAAAGACGCAGCCGAGAGGCTCACAGCGTACCCCCAGAAAAAATTGTAGCTTGCTAAGAGTTCGTTTTCATTCGTTGATCACCTGACTGCTTCTTGCCTATGTAGCCTGTGCCTGAGTATTGCGTCCCGCCAACGATCTAATGAGTCTTCAAGAGGAATTAAACTGTAAGTTTCGTTTACAACCTGAAATACTGTTTATTAATTGAATAACGGAGCATAAAAGTACGCATTTTTGGCAAGATCACGAATGGGCAGAAATTAATTCATAGTTTTAATTTCTCCATGGAAGCTACTATGGAGGAGGAAAAACTAGTAGGCTGAGCACTTTCACGATTGGTAAGTATACTAATTCATGTTGGATGCAAAATTTTTCAGAAAGACGTGGAATGTCTGACAAGGAAGGTTGCTTTTGTTGAGGTTATATTGACCCTCTGCATGATTGCGGCTTAACCGAAAATTGGGATCAGTGTACGATTCTTACAATCTTTGGAAACGTTGCCCGTAGCAATAAAAAACCATATTCTTTAAATCTTCACCTTCAAAATCAAAACGATACGTTTCTCATCATACATCGCAGTAGCCTGTAAAAAAAGTTTACTACGGCTGACAACAAGCAGTATTTTGGAGATGAAAAGTAGTGCTCTGACCTTTGCTAGATCAATTTGAAATTCAGGATCTGAAGCGATTCCTAATTTCTTTCTGGGGTAGAATTTGAGTATTCCGTTCGACAATTCTGCATGGAATTTTCGAGAGATGTTAATTACACGACGTTTTCGTCGTTTAACACTGACTAATCCCTGAAATGTGAAGGTCAGAAACTTTCTCTCAATTATTCCTCAAAGGCTGTAGAAATTCTGCTGAAGAAATACTGGATTCCAATATTTTAACAATTGCGTTATTTGCATGAAAAAATGTGAGATTTTTCTTGATCAATTTATGTTTAATGAGCAGAATGTTAACAATTGGACACGCTTGAATTTCAGTAGCACACGCAGTAACAGGACCTAGTAGATAGTTCCATAATGAAATATAATAAATTGCATCATCTTTAATAGAAAGTTCTGCTTGACTAACGTCGCCGTTGTTCTGAGGTTCATTCTACACGGGATCGAACCATCGTCTTATCCGGTCTTGATTCTGTTTTCTAATGCCTCTGATACCATTTGTGCAGGAATGAGATCGGAAAACGGCTGGATAGGGCACAATAAGGGCAGGAACAGTGGGGGACGGGAGGCCTCCGCCCCTCGCTAGGCTGTCTACGAGTGCTAATTGTTCTTCACCACATTCGCACTGGAGCGA